TCCTCATACATGCGGATGAAAATTACGTTATTCGTTTGTTTGAACTGGGTGTGTAGGGTGCTGTATCATTTTATAGGAGAATGTCAATTAAAATGTTGTGGAGAATAACTGGAAAAGATTGCATTGGTTAATGACAAGGGCATTACTTCTGGACAGGCAGATTTTACATCCATTTTGGCCTCTTCTGTTTATTTTCTTACCCGCAGAATTCACATTGTCGGTGCTTCTTCGCATTTTTTTGTCTAACTCCTCATCAAATTCTCCTATGTCAACTCATTTCCTCCCTCCCCGAGGGCGAAGAAAAGGGGGTATCATCCTTTTTTCACCGATGGCAGGGGGGTCTTAAGGGACTTCAACCTACTCCTTTTATGTCCATGATTAGTTTTTTGCATATAGCCACTTTTTAAAATTGAGAAATAGTATATAAAGTAATGCCTTTTGTCAGGTAACAACGTATGCAATTGTCATTGAACCTGTGCTGGGCTTTGCAAATTTTGAAGTCATTGCTAATTTGTTTCGTTGTGTTCTTTTGCAGGTGTACTACGTCTATGGATTTATGCTTCTGGTCTTTCTGATCCTCATTATTGTTACCATCTGCGTGACTATTGTGGGAACATATTTCCTACTAAATGCTGAAAATTACCATTGGCAGTGGACTTCATTTTTCTCAGCGGCATCTACAGCTGTCTATGTATACCTGTACTCAGTCTATTATTACTATGTGAAGACTAAGATGTCAGGGTTTTTCCAGACCAGCTTCTACTTTGGATACACACTGATGTTTTGCCTTGGCTTAGGGATTCTATGCGGTGAGTATATCAACTCCAGTTCTTTTTAGACCATTTATGCGATATTGCCTTTGAGTAGGATTTGTTTTTCATCGTAAGAGCTCGCCGTGGTGATAATTTATGTTAGCTTTAGTTTTGGTCCTGTCTCGTTGCTTTGGACACGAATGCATTTAAGTCTGTCTGTGTATGTTTTCTGTATGTTGCTTGTAGGAGAACACAGTTATTGTGGCTCTTCATTTTGTTTTATGTTGTCCTAATCAACCATGTAATTTTGTCAACTATGCTCAGGTGCTGTTGGATTCTTGGGCTCTAATCTATTTGTGAGGAGGATTTACAGAAACATCAAATGTGACTAATTTTCTTCCAAAGGAGAGTATGACAGACAATGCCCTTTATTCATCTGGTCACTTGACTATAAGGTCAAGAAGAGCCTCAAGAATCATGTATCTTCGTGGGGGATGGTTGGTGTCTCTGCCAGGGATCATTGGAGTCCTGAAGATTTTCCCTCTTCTTTGGGCTGTAAGAGATCCTTTTTCCCTTTGTACTTAAATTAGAAAGATTTAGAGAGTTTAAGGGATTCCAGGCTAGTTTGGTAGGGGTTTCAGACAGACATATATAGTTATTTCGGACACTCAGCACTGATCCTTGATATTTGTTGATTATTGCCAAGGAATGAGACTCAGGTCAGTTTTTTCTGATTGGTGAACGAGTTAGGACCATGTTTGGATATATACATTGCATTTTTTGAAGCACGAACGGAATTTTCCATCTTCCCTATATAATTGGATGTCAGATGCTCAAAAAGGATTGTAGCTTTTCAGGAACTTCTGTATAATTGATGTGAAGCTGCTTGTTCAGTCAAGCTTTGCTACATTGTTAATTTGCTATTGAGACCCCCTTTTTTGTTTGGTTTCCTTGGTTTCGCCAGGCAAATTTATTCTTTTCGTGCTGTTTCTCAATAAGGCTAGCAAAATCTGTGCAACGTTCGAGGTCAGGTGATCGATCACTACTGAGATTTAGGTGAAACACGTTAGTTTTAGCTGTGACTTGAGCTAAGGTAACTCAAACATGAGATCTTCTGTGTGTGTAGCGTGTGGACACAACTTTACCAACCATTACGGATTTCTTTTGTTTATTTTTAGAAACGAAAGGACTTTGATGTGATTGTTGAGCGTGTAATTTAGTACTCGATCTTAAGTCTTTTAAGTTAAAATTGGTCTCTCCTGGTTTTGGTGACAAAATGCTACTACTGTCCTATTCTTTCTAAATGTGGATCATTTTTTAATGTTTTTCACCAGTTGACTAAGAGCATTATTTAAGAATTAAATATCGTTATGTTTTAAATTTTATTGTGATGTTTCTTTAAATTTTATTTTAATATCTCCTTCGTTGTTATCTATGTAAATAAAATTGAAGTTAATATACAAGTAAAGCATACTCATGAGAAAGACCCACGACCACGCTGCTGGCTATAATGCTTACCTTGGGCAAACGTTGAATTCTTTAGCCCTTTTCTGCAGTAGAAAATTCATGTCATTCCCCACCACGGTTTGTTCACTTAATATATGTAGGTTTGGGGATGAGTTATTCATATCTCGATTTATTTAAATGCATCTTTTTACAAACACTTATTTTCTCTGAACAAGTCTGATTCAATTTTTTTGTACATTCTTAAAACTATTAAGACGTTCACGAAAAGATTATATGAATGTAACTTTTACCATCACTCTATTGACGACCATTGTGCACCCACCTTTAGCAACCACCTGGATCGCCAGCCACTACTGGCGACTATCACCATTAACCTCCACGGTACAACAACCACTAACCATCTCTAATGCCAACCACCACCAGTCCACCACTAGCTATCACTGTGCCACCACCACTTTCACCAGTTGACAACAAGTTGTTTTGGTCATCACTGCACAACTGCCCCCACAAACAACCTTCACCAACCACAACTATCACTAACCACCACCTTGGTTACAACGGCGAACGAGCGGGTCGGGTCGGATATGAGCAGGTAGAAAATGGGTAATTCAAAAAACGGATAAATTATCCGACCCGACCCGTATTTAAGACGGATAAAAAATGGGTTATGGATAATATGGACATGGCTTCTTGAATATGATCACTTATGAGAGAATTTCTAGTCTCCCAAACTTGAGGAACCCCCAATTTGAGGCTTTACAAATGTAAAAGTTAAACACATTAGTTATCCATTGATTAATTATTTTTAAGTGGATAATATGGTTCTTATCCATATTCGACCCGTTTTTAAAAAGTTCATTATCCAACCCATTTTTAATGAATAATATGGATGGATAACTATTTTTTTCTAATCATTTTGCCACCTCTAGTTACAACTATCAACGCCGATCACCACTATCTTCATATGCCACTGCCACCAGCTTTTAGAATGTGATATATCAAACAGATACCTTTTACAATACTATTTAAATTAATTTTTTTCTTCTAATTTTTTTAATTATTATTTTATTTGAATGTTATATTTGTTAAAGTAAATGAATATAAATATACATATTTAGATACTAAGAAAAATAGGTTAAACTATCCAATATCCAGATATATAACTCCCTTTGATGCTTCCGTTTAAATTGTGGTTGGCAGTGGAAGACAGGACAAATTAAAGCCACAAGCCTTGTGAGAATGAAAGGCTGATATTAAAGCAGTGACAATCACATTCACAAGATAACTGGTGAATCCTGCTAAGTTGATAAACTGATAAAGCTAGCCATACACTATTGACACGTGGAAGATAAACCTCTCACTATTTCCACAAGCCCCCTCTTCTTATATATCCTCACATCTCAACTGAGAGCAGAGCAGAGCAGAGCAGAGCAAAGCAAAGAAAAAATTTGTAAAAATGGCCAGTATTTCAGGTACCATGGTTAGCACTTCTTTCCTCCCAAGGAAACCAGCTGTGAGTAGCCTGAAAGCCATGCCAAATGTTGGGCAAGCTCTCTTTGGTCTTAAATCTCAGAGGGGTGGTAGGATTACTTGCATGGCCAGTTACAAAGTGAAGCTTATTACACCAGAGGGAACTGTTGAGTTTGATTGTCCAGATGATGTTTACATTCTTGACCAGGCTGAGGAAATGGGACATGATCTTCCTTACTCATGCAGAGCTGGTTCTTGCTCTTCTTGTGCTGGAAAAGTTACAGCTGGAAATGTTGATCAGTCTGATGGAAACTTTCTTGATGATGACCAAATGGCTGATGGATTTGTGCTAACTTGTGTTGCTTACCCACAGTCTGATGTTACTATTGAGACTCACAAGGAGGAGGAGCTCACTGCCTAAGCCCCTTCATCTCATTATTTCAAAAAAGTTTGATGAGCATTTATTTTCATATGTAACTCTTTTTTTCTCATAAAAGATGCTTTGTTGCAACTTCAAGTCAATGACTTTGATTTGCTTAGTATATCAACTTTTGTCTCCTTATTCCCTGCTTTTAGATGTGTTAATTTTCATGTATATTTAACAATTTGCAAGATTAGAAAATTACCATTAGTAACTCTATTCAGGTCCAACATAATACTTTGTTATATAAACCTAGGGCTATCTACAATTAGAAAGTTAAGAGGTCTTAGATGTGCAAGCCCTACATCTTTGATGCAGGGGTGGAGCTAGAGTGGGGGAGCGGGTTCGGCCGAACCCAATAGCTTTTGTTTGAACTCTATATTTGTCTTAAACAGTCTGTTGAATATGTAAAAATTATTAAATTAGAACCTAATAAGTTAAAACGATTAGAACCCCGACCCCATAAGCTTGAAATCATGGCTTCGCCTCTGCTTTGATGCAACCATTGATTCTCATGAGAGGTCATGGTTGTTGCGTAGGAAGGCATTTTTGTTATGCTACTAATACTTGCTCTGCTACTCTGTACGGGCGTAAAACAAAAGCACCTTAAAGGTCCAACATTATCAACTGAACTAATTTCCATGTATAATTAGGCGTATATTCGTCAAGACTGTTTCTTTACAGCTCAATATATGTTCATTTTCTGAGTTACAAAATAGATGCCTAATCTATGAACTGGTCTCCATTGCCAGATAGCAAAGACTGCAATAAATACTCGTCTAAAAATGGTTTACCCCATGCAGGAAGTGCTACGCGGCTAGTGTCTGAGTATGGACTGGTAGGTGTATATTGTACAGAATAAATACTTAGCTTGCATGAGAAAAAATCATGTCTTTTGAAACAGATCAAAGAGAGTTTCTGGCTTGTCTGCATCCCCATTATCCACATTCTCTTGTATATCAGTAACCAGAGGTTCAGATGAATGCCTCTCATTATCCACATTCTCCTCTATATCGGTGACCAGATATTCGGATGAATAGTCCCTATTTCTGAAGGAAAGTTCATGTTCTGGTGAATTTGAGGTTTCAACAATGCAATCTTCTTGTTGATCATTTGACAGGACATTCTCATCTAGATGGTGAAATGAGCCTCTAGAGGAACATGGAGATAAAGTAACCGTTGCTATCTCATCCCCCTCATCAATCGTTGATCCTAGGGAACACGTTGATCTTGTAGTGATTGAGCGTAAAGCATCTCGTTTAGACTTGTCCTTTACTCTCTTACACCAACTGTGAAGTGATTCTCGAACACTTTCAGCAACGAGAGCCTTTCCACACCGCGAACCCATCTGTGACCAAAAGTTTATGCAAATTAAAGGTCATTTCAGACTCTGTCACTAGCCTAAGACTAGTTCAGTTGGCATTTTAGTATTTGGTAAATGTATAAGAATAGCGAGAAAAGGATCACCTGTGAGATAATTACGTTTAGAGGAACAGTGCTGTGGCTACACCAGAACTGCACCAGAACCCTGTTCAAAGAGTGCATTTTCTGAGTACCAAATAGGTCTACTAATATGTAGTAGCGAAGCTAGGAATTTTTCCAAGGGTATTCAAATTTGAAAGAAGAGAAAAAATTCCCGACAAAGGGTATTCAATATGTGTTATATACCTCTAAGACGTAATATTTTACCTATATACACAGTACAATTTTTCGACGAAGGGTGGTCAACTGACCATCCTTGTGACCATGTGGCTTCGCTACTGCTAATATGCATCATACACTACATGTTATAAAAGATCCACTATGCATCTTCTACTTTAATGCACGAAAATCATGTTCAATGAGTGCAGCTTCTATGTACCAAAAACATCTGCTAAGGATCCAATCTTTTCAGTACATGTAGCAAAACCAAGATATATGTGTGATAATTAGTCTTCGACTTGATAACTATTCTGATGCAACACTCAGCAATTATCTGTTTGGGATTTGATGGCCATTGGTACCTACCTCATTTTGACTTGGTCCAGGCTTGAAAATCAGGTAATAATGACTTAACCAAGAAACATACAAGGTGAATAGCTAGGCTGGATGGCCCGAAATTTAGTAGCTTCCTCACTTCTGCTCCTAATATTTAGCAGCTAATATAAGTGGTTCTCACCAAAGTTCCCCTTTAAAAAAGTACTTCATCGCCTTCCCTCAATGTCAAATAAGAATAATCAGTAATGCATTGTTCAGTGAACTAGTTACATCGAATAAGTTCTGATCAGGAGGGGAGGGGGCGCAGTTCTGTGCTAGAAAGTGAATCGGTGGATGAGCTCTACTTATAGAAGATGAGAAACATGCAGTTGCAAGACGATTGCAAACAAATAAGTGGGAATCACTTAACTCGCCACAATCTTATAGGAGAATGACATGATCCATGAAGATGTTATGATAGCACTGAGATAGGGATGACCAAAAATAGAGTACTACAGGAGCTATGGCTATGCGATAGGAAGAATACTTAATAAAGTAAGAGGCAAGAAGTGGATATTGGAGTAAAGTTCTTCACAGTTTGAACTGTATTAAATGCAAAAGTGGTGCCATAATGC